AGAAGCGACTACGCGTCTCTTGCTGTGCGTGTACTGTGCAGGAACCATACTCGCTGGCCTCGTAGCGGTCTTTTCGCTTTCTGCAGTGGTAGAAGTCGACACACGCAGAAAGGTGTTCCACGGCACCATGGTGGCGATGCTCCTGCCGACCATCTTTATCGACCCTTGTTTTGTTGCGCTGGCGCTTGCACTGGTACTTGCGATATTCCTCCTCCTCGATCTGATTCGCGCCTCGCAGCTTCCGCCGCTGTCCAAGCCCATTGCCAGGTTCCTGACGCCGTACGTGGATGGCCGCGATCTCCGAGGCCCCGTGGTGGTGTCGCACATCTTCCTCTTGATTGGGTGTGCGATCCCGCTGTGGCTATCGCTCGCAGGAGTGGAACGGGCTGGCGACGAGCCGTGGCAAGGCTGGGAGGTGGAAGACAGGGACGTGAGTATGGTGGCGGGAGTTATATGTGTGGGCATGGGCGACGCAGCAGCATCCCTCGTCGGGCGGCGCTATGGGCGGCGGAAATGGCCCTGGGCGGGCGGCAAGTCCCTGGAAGGGTCCTTGGCGTTTGCAGTCGCAGTGTCGGCTGGACTCGTGGTAAGTAGAGTGTGGCTCCACGTCGGGTGGGAAAGCGGTGCGGCAGGGCACAGGACGGAGGGCGAGTGGGCTCACGACGCATTGCTCACGCTGGGCAAGGCGGCTCTGTGCGCGACAGGCGCAAGCCTCAACGAGGCGGTCCTCACAGGCGGCAACGACAACGTGATCGTGCCAGTGATACTATGGGTCCTTGTGAGGGGTGTCAGGCTGTAGGCAGTCGACGCCGCCGCATCAGGCGGGCTGCAGGTACGGCGTAGATAGACGGGTCGACCCGACCATGAAGCCGGCCACATGGTCGTTCGCGCAGGGGAGCATGACTTGCATTCAGAATGCGTGCGACCAGACAAGAGGCATGTTGGAGCGTGCAGGCGGGCGATGTGGTGCTAGCGCATGAGGGGCACGCGTCGTTATCAAGCATCCCGGCCGGCTTCCTGCATGTGACACGCGCACGCCTGCCTCGAGCCACGGCGTCGGCCTCTTGTACTGCCTGTGGTGCTCCTCGCTCCCCCGACACGCTGCGCTCGCGATACCCTACTCTCCCACTCGTCTCTGCCGCCCTGCGCCGAACCTCTTCTCTCCCGCGCCCAGCTGCTCGTCGCGCCCTGCATCCCCGTCCCTCGGCCATCCATCACCACCATCGGCCGCCCTCGACCACCGCCCGCCTCCCGCCAGCCCATGTCCAACGCCCTCACGGCCGCGCTGTACCCACGTCTTCGCTGGTAGCTGACGCCCGGCTGCTCAGCCAGCGCCGCCGACCATGGCAACACCTCCCAACCCGCACGCCCCCAGGCGGTCGGGCGCGTCGCCGCCAGTGTCGACGCCCGCAGCCACGGGCTCGGAGCAGGTCATCGGAAAGTTTAAGCGCCTGCATCACATTGGCAAGGGCAGCTTCGCCGAAGTCTACCGCGGCATTCACATTGTACGTTGCTGCCCTCCCTTGCCCGGGGCGTGCACCGAGTGCTAACTGTCTCGCCGCACAGGAGAAGCGCCAGTCCGTCGCCATCAAGTCGGTCAATATGAACAAGCTCAACAAGAAGCTCAAGGACAACCTCGTCTCGGAAATCTCCATTCTGCGCAGTCTGCACCACCCGCACATAGTCTCGCTCATCGACTGCCACGAGACGCCGTCCCGCATGCACATCATCATGGAGTTCTGCGAACTCGGCGACCTGTCAGCCTTTATCAAGAAGCGCGCCGACCTCGTAAACCACCCACAGACGCAGCGCATGATAGAAAAGTACCCGAACCCGACCGTTGGCGGCCTGCACGAGGTTGTCGTCCGCCACTTTGCCAAGCAGATGGCGAGCGCCCTGGAATTCCTGCGGTCCAAGAACTACATTCATCGTGATCTCAAGCCCCAGAACCTGCTCCTCAACCCCTCCTCCATCTTTTACTCGCAGAGTGGCACCCTCGAACGCATGCCTCTGGCTGCCAGCGCCAATTCCTTGATACCCGCCACCGGCATCGCCTCGCTGCCCATGCTCAAGATCGCTGATTTCGGCTTCGCTAGAATTCTGCCGACTACCTCGCTAGCCGAAACCCTGTGTGGCTCTCCCCTCTACATGGCACCTGAGATTCTGCGGTATGAAAAGTACGACGCAAAGGCCGACCTGTGGTCTGTGGGAACTGTGCTCTTCGAAATGATGTGCGCCCGACCGCCATTCAGGGCGAACAACCACGTAGAGCTACTGCGCAAGATTGAAGAGCGCAAGGACCAGGTCAGATTCCCAGAAGGCCTCGTCTGCACCAGGGCCATGAAGACCCTTATCCGCGCACTCTTGAAGCGAAAGCCAACCGAACGCATGTCATACGAGCATTTCTTCTCAGATGCCGTCATTCGCGATGAGATTCCAGACATGGTCGATGAGGACCTTCCGGGTTCTATGCAAGCGTCTGAGCGCATGCAAACCTCCGTATTAGAACCACCCATTGAGCCACCCCAGCGAGTCCACAAGGCGCCCCTCGAGCTGGAATCTAGGCCTACTGACAGCCCATACTCGATCTCGACCAGGGACAGGACGACAGGCCTTGGGACAACACCACCTTCACGGCCGGCTTCTCGACCTGTATCCGGCAACTTCTCAGGCACTCCACCGCAATATCTGCCTGCAAGACGAGCTAGTAACGCCCCTATTGAGCCCACCGACGGACGCACTCCAACGCGTGAGCATCGTCGGCCTACGCTCACCAACGCTGCAACCGCACCAGGACGTACTGCGACGCTGCAAGACCAGACGACAGCACCTACTGCCACCAGCCACAGGCGCAAGTACTCTCGCGACGAACAAGGCCCGCCACACATCGGTCTCAAGGAGCACCTGGATCGCGAGCGAATCCCACAGAGGACGGAAGCAAACGTGTTGAAAGAGGCGGCAGAGCGAGCAGCACAAGATAACGCGCTTGACGAGGGGTTTGTCTTTGTGGAAAAACGGCGTGTGGAGATTGACGCACTGGCAGACGAGATTGCGAATAGTCCACAAACACAGCGGGATCGTCCCCTCCACCGGGAAGCAGCGATGAAGCGACGATCGACAACGCAAGGGTCCCCAACATCAACCACTGGCGCAGTCCCCTCGAAAGCCATCCAGATTCAGCAAAAGCCTACCATTACGCACCAGCGCACAGCTTCTTACAGCCGGCGACAATACCGCCCAAGCTTTGAAACCGCCACCTCTGCCCTTTCCAAGGCTATGAACATGGTCAATATCCGGGGGCTTGGTCTGTCTCCGCCGGTCATGAAGGGCGTCTCACCCCCACAGGGCTATTCCGCATTCCCAGCCTATCCCACTGCGCAAAGCAGCATGCTAATGGTCGGCGATGGAGGCAAATCCGTTGGCAAAGATGAAGATACCATGACGGTGAAAAGGATTGAGGATCTGGCCCAGCTCAGCCACGTTGTATATGGCTTCGCTGAAGTCAAATACAGTCAGCTTGTTCCGGTTGCACCAAGCGACCCAGCTTTAGGAGTCGGTTCCACTGGCGTTGCTCGCAAGCCCAACAGCGATGTGATCGACGATGACGATGACGACGAAGATTTGACGCCTGATACTATTCTCATCATTTCCGAGGAAGCGCTGGTACTCTTCGTCAAGACGTTAGCAATGTTGAACAAGGCTATGGACCTGACCGGCAGCTACTGGAATCGCGCCCGCCGTAATAGTGGCCCCGACGGAACAAGCCGAACCAATGCAAAGCTGGGTCAGGTGGTCTCATGGATGCGTGATCGATTCAACGAATGCTGCGTCAAATCTGAGATTGTCGCACGTAAGCTCAAGCAGGCGCAGGGGCAGCTACCGGCAGATCATCCAAGCCATCCTCACAATCAATCGGCGGCATCCAGCTCTACAACTGCTGTAGGTTCTGCGGAGAACATTCTACTTACGACTGGTGTTACCGCTGAGAAACTATTATATGACCGGTCGCTAGAGATGAGTCGCCAGGCAGCCATTGATGAACTCACTGGACACAACCTGGCGGACTGCGATATCAACTACTGGACTGCCATCACGATGCTTCAAGCTGTTCTTGAAGAGGAAGAAGAATCGTCCAACGAGAAGGCTGATGCCGAGGAGATTAATGGCCTCGACGGCGAAGATCGGCGCTCGATCCAGAAGCGTAAGTCTCGCTACAGTGTCCCCAAAGTGTACCCAACTAACCAACGCAGTCCTTGAACAAATGAGAAGCCGGCAACGGGCTCTTAAGAAGAAACTCGACGTTGTCAGGACTCAAAAGCGCACTTCTATCACTAGTGCGCCTGCACAACATTCCGTGGGACGCAGCTCTTCTTCCCAAGGTGTCGCAAAGTAGTCATGCATCGTACAAAACCACCTTTTCAAGTATCAAACTTACAACTGCTTGTTTTCGCACCTAGGGACGGCACTATCCTTACGAGCCCCTGCTCTCTGTGTATGGGTTTATCATTCGGTATTCTTTGCGTGGTTTGGGACAACGGGGCGTCATGAAGGGCATTGGCGCACTCGCATTCGTTCGCATATGATACCAGGATCTTGAATAGCAACGACGTGCAAATTTTTCTCATTATCAGGCGTTTGAAATGAATAGCGGGTTCAGGCGCACGGTTGGGTTGGCATTCTGCTATGGAGGGACAGTGCTTGCATTGGTTCTGGGCTGGCCTTTGAAGCAATAGAACGTGTATCGAGACTTGCACGAATTATTAGTAGCTGGGGAATAACAAGAAGTGGTCAGTGTATCGAACTTGCAGACCATGCAGCAGATATGAAATGTGACACCTGCAGGCTGAATTCCCTGTTTACCATCATACGCGCAACCTCAGGTCGTGCCAGTAGACACCGGAGCTTTGCAAATGTTCAGCCCACATGACCATCCAAGCTAATGTACAAGCATGATGTTGCTCCACGCAATGAGCTCGGGCGTCCGTCTCGAGACCGCGTTTTCAAGAAATGGAAATGCTTATGATCTTAATATCCTCCTCCGGCTTCTCTTTGTATACTTTGGTATTCTCGATTTTGTGAATAACATCCATCCCAGCAATCGCTCGTCCGAAGATGGTATGCTTGTTGTCAAGCCAGGGCTGCATACATGTCACAGTCAGCGCACCGCCTCATCGTGAAACTGAAAGTAAACGAGAAGACAAGGACTTACCGTCTTTTCGGTGGTAATGAAGAATTGACTTCCGTTCGAATTTGGGCCGGCATTCGCCATGCTCACTGTGTAGGCTTTGTCGTGTCTCAAGTTGGAGAACTCATCTGCAAACTCCTTGCCCCAAATACTCTCTCCACCAGTGCCGTCACCAAGTGGGTCACCAGTCTGTATCATGAATTTGCGGATCACGCGGTGGAATATGACGTTGTTGTAGTAGTTGTTGCGCGCGTGTGTGACGAAGTTTTCCACGGCCTTGGGAGCGGCGTCCGGAAAGAGACGGATGGTAATATCGCCGTAGGTGGTGTGGAGAGTAGCTGTAGTGCCTGTTGCGGCGAGTGCTTTGTCGTCTCTTTGTTTGCTGGAGGCAGCAACGCGAGGCTTTTCGTTCTGCACATCACGGGTCGACTTGGTAGCGCTGGCATCGTTAGTGTACATGTAGAAACGGACCTTGCCAGAACCTGTAGTGACGAGCATGGCATCTCTGGCCTCGGCTTCCTGTAGTAACGGGTTCTCGCTCGCTGCCATTTCGACAGTGACAACACCCTTTTTCTCTGGTTGCCCTTGGTAGAGGCACAGCCATAGCGGTCTGATGGATTCTTCCTGGCCGTACAGCTTCACAAGCTTGTTGGTCAGTGTGTTGATCACTTTGACGCCGTACATGCTGCCGTATAGGATGAAATTGCTTGTCTCATCAAATGTCACATTCATGCGACACCTCGTCATAGGCTGGTCGAGCTCTCTTTCGATGGCTATGCGTCGACCAAACTCCATGTCTTCCAGATGCTGGACAGCGGTACCAGCCTGTTGCATGCTGGTGATGGTCTCGATTGATTCGTCGTACGTGCGATGAAGTTTGCCGGTGGCAAAGTCGAAGACGCGGACCTTGCGATCCGGGAATGAAAGCGTCGCAAACTGCTTCCCCGTGGGAGATATGGTAAGCGACGAGGGCACACTTTTTGACTTCTTGAAGTCAAACAGACTGGTAGAGCTCTTCAGCCTCCAAACATTGTCTGGCTTCTCAAAGTTTCCATTGGGCCTCCAGTATTCCACCATACCACCTTGATCGACGCTCACAACACAGTCGAATTCGCTATTGTATGCCATTAGGTTCACTGACGCCCTGTGAACGCTCCTGAGCATGTGTAACGGCTCTGGATTCTCCCCTCTGCCATCGTAAATGCGGATCCAACTGTCTTCTTCGGAGCTGACGGCCAGTTGAGGAAAGCTTGCGCCTCGGCCGTGCAGCCAGCAAACCGCTCTAGGCGTGTACTCGACGCTCAGCATGGCCAGCAGATCGAAGGTGACGACATCGAAGATCTTGATTGTCTTGTCCGAGCCGGAAGTAGCAAAGCTACGGCCGTCGGCGCTCACGTTGACAGACTTGATCTCGCCGGTATGCGCCCTGAATTCTTTGACAAACTCTACGCCGCCAAAGTCCTTTTTCCAGAACTTGACCACGCCGTCGACAGAGCTCGTTATGAGGAAATCGGTGTGGGGGGTAAAGGTGGTAAAGCATAATTGCTCGCGGTGCATTAGCGATCTGGAGTAGCGGGTCGCGCCGGGCAGCGCAGCGACGTAAAGCTTCTCGTAGGGCAGTTTGCGCTTTTTTCGCTTCGGCGCTGAAGACGGAAGGGCGGGACCAAAGTCATCGGAGGAGGAGGAAGTATCGTCTGGGGAGGTTGTTAGGAACTTGACGCGCGACGGATGCACAAGGGACATACCGTCATCCAGAGCCTGCACAGGAGCTTCTTTTGCAGAGACGGCGCTGTCAGCCTCCATTTCGGTACGCGAGCGCTTCGCCTTGCTCGGCGACTGGGACCCGTCCATTTCCATCATGGGCATGCAATTGAGACCGCCGGGGTGGTGCGGGTTGGTTGTCGCAGGCCCAAGCTTGGAATAATCGAATGATGCCGCGTCTAAACGCGTGACGTTGCACTATCACACGCGCTTGTCGGACAGTCGGAGAGTTTTGCGGGATACGTCAGGTACGCTAGCACGCCGTTCACGGGTATCCATGCATTGTGATCACGCCTCAGCAGAATACTGCTGTCATGTTCGCAGACGGTGTGGAAAGCCCACCCATTGCTTTCTTTCCTCCTGTTTCAATTTCAAGTGCTATCATAACGCAAGGGCATCGCCTGCTCTTCTGGCGCCGTGCGAGGAAATGTATGTACGCATTGGACTCATCACGAATCGGATAAACAGAGTGGGGCAGACGAATCATTGCTCCAGCCTCTTTCTATGATGCTATCGTACATGATGCCCATGGCTAATCTTCACACCATCATTACCATCCAAGCGTAGGTGCTAGCTCATAGCTTCTGGTAGTCCAGCTTGCCCTCTAGCTTCTTCGACTCGGCCATCTTCCGCACTGCCTTGTTGAAATCGTCCTGGTTGATCGAGTCTCGGTAGTCTTTGATGGCGAAGAGGCCGCTGCGATGTGTTAGCCATGTCACAGTTACACGGAAGAGACACTTACGCCTCGGTGACAACGTTGCGAAGGTCGGCACCGTTCATGCCATCGCTCATCTTTACAATGCTCTCGAAGTCGATCTCGCCATCCGTCACTACGCTGCCAGAGTGAATTTTCAGAATCTCAAGACGGCCCACTTCGTTGGGTAGGGGGATTTCGAGTTTGCGGTCAAGACGCCCGGCGCGAAGCAGAGCGGGGTCGAGCGTGTCGGGTCGGTTCGTCGCCATGATGATCTTGGTCTGCCCTAGGTAGTCGAAGCCGTCGAGCTGGTTCAGCAGCTCCATGAGGGTTCGCTGAATCTCACGGTCTGCCGACGTTCCCTCGGAGAAGCGACGACCGCCAATAGCATCAATCTCGTCCATGAAGATGATGCAGGGCTCGTGCTCCTTTGCGTACCCAAACATCTCACGGATGAGACGCGCCGATTCTCCAATGTATTTGTCGACAATGGCAGAGCTGACGACCTTGAGGAAGTTTGTCTCGAGACTGCTTGCCACGGCGCGTGCCAGGAGTGTCTTGCCCGTGCCTGGCGGTCCGTAGAGTAGCACTCCCTTTGGCGGTTTGATGCCTACCCGTAGAAACAGCTCGGGGTTCTTCAACGGCAGTTCGATGACCTCGCGTAGCTCCCTAATCTGCTCGTTCAGGCCGCCGATGCCGCCGAAGCTAACCTGCCCTGGGTCTTCGAGCGACATGTTGTAGACGAGCGGGTCGACTTCGCGGGGAAGCATGCGCATGATGGTAAGTGTCGTCATATCGAGGGCCACGCGTGTGCCTTGCTTGAGCTTGGCCTTGTCGACCTTGGACCGGCATCCGACGACGTAACGGGGCCCCGAGGATGCCTTGACAATGACTGCGGCGACGTTAGTGTGGCGTCTTTTGGCAGGATGCACATGTGCACGTACATCGCTCCTCGTCCAACTGCTTCAGCACCTCTCCTATTATCTGGCCGACGCTCTGCAGCGCCTTGATGTTGTCTTCGGATACGTCAAAGTCGTGCTGCAGGCCCTTGATGTCCAGTCGCAGCGCCTTGAGCTTGGCCTCCCATTCTCTAGACTCGAGCAGCTTGGACTTGTAGGCCTCGAGAGCGTGCTCGCGCTCCTGGTCGCCACTTCCGCTCATGGTGGACATGTGCGGCGGCGTGGGTGACGTTGCGGAGGAGCGGCGGCGTGTGGAGGCGGAGGTGATGGCACGCGTGAGGGCGGCGGGCGGTACTTTAAGGCAGCCGAGTTTGCTGCAGAGTCAAGACGGCGTGAATGTGTGCGCAGCCAGCGAAAGGATCTGTCCGCGTTGGGTGGAGTGAGTGTCGGAATGGGAGACGTCGGTGGTGATGGCCACGGCGATGGCCTTGGTGTTGTCCATGTATGTGAGCGAGCTTGGACCAAGACGCCATTTCCGCGGCGAAAGCTAGCCTTCGAAAAAAGTTGGCCGATCAAATTCCTGCAACCACACCCGCAACCGCAATGTCGTCGTCCTTCTTCACCGCGCCGGCCTCACAGCGGAAACGCAAGCGCAGCGAAGCCACCGCCGGCACTCCCAAACGACGCACCACAGACGCGCATGCTCGCCGCATGCAGCGCGAGGAGTCCATCAGCGGCAGCGACACATCCGAGGGCGACGGCGCACCCACGTTCGACGGCGGCGACGATGCAGACAGCGGCTCTAGCTCTTCGGAAGACGAGCACGAGACGGCGGCGGACAAGCGCCTCAGGCTGGCCGAGCGCTATCTCGACAACATCCGCAACGAGGTCGAGGAGGACGTGGGCTTCGACGCCGAGCAGATCGACAAGGACCTGATCGCCGAGCGACTCAAGGAAGATGTTGCGGAGGGCAAGGGCAGGATATACCGGTCCATCGCTGCTGAGCTTGGGTTTGAATATGCATCACACGCCACGGCCTACTCAGGGCTGCAAAAAGCCACCACCGGATGCGCTGTCAAGCTGCCGCATGCCTGGACCATCAGCAAGGATCTCGTCGTCGAGAAGTGGGCAATTGCAGACCCGAAATCGTATGCGCCCGACCCCAACCGACCGTCCAACCTGACGCCGCGCACCACTCCCAAGAGGCTCCTGTGGCGCAAGGGAAACAAGAACAAAAAGGGCGACCGCGCCTTTCTGGGTCACACGGGCGAGATTGTGTCTATAGCCATCTCCGACTCGGGAAAGTACCTGGCCACGGGCGATGTGCATGCGCGTCTGGTCATCTGGGACGCCGACACCCTCACGCCCCGACACCTCTTTACTCGCCATCGAGATGCCGTTCTCTCACTGTCCTTCCGGAGGGGCACCGAGCAGCTCTTCTCCGGCGGCGCAGACCGAGCAGTCATTGTCTGGAGTGCGCCTGAATCTGCGTACATTGAGACACTGGTCGGACACCAGGACGCCGTCATTGGTGTCGCAGGCGGGTTGGAGATGAACCAAGAGACATGCGTCAGTGTAGGCGCCCGCGATCGCACTGCGCGCCTGTGGAGGGTCGTCGAGGAAAACCAGCTCGTCTTCCACGGAGGCGGTACAGCCAGGCAAAAGGGCTTGGACAAGCTGCGCAAAGGCCGATTTGGCAAGACTGTTGACGGAGACGACAAACAGGATCAAGACGTCGGCGCCAACCTCGACGACGATGCGCCCATCGCATATGCCGAAGGCTCCATCGATTGCGTCGGCCTTCTCGACGCCGGCTTGTTTGTCACAGCATCGGACAATGGAGCCTTGTCGTTGTGGTCTGTCAACCGGAAGAAGCCCCTTTTTACATATCCACTTACCCATGGCCGCGATCCACCGCTCTCGCCCGAGCAAATGTCAGCCAACGACGACGCCGCAACATCGACGAAGCCCGGTCCGCGGCTACCGCGCTACGTGACTGCGCTTGCTACCGTTCCCTTTGCCGACTTGATCCTCACAGCGAGCTGGGACGGCTGGATACGCGCCTGGAGGATTACAGCCGACAAGAAGAGCATTGAGCCCGCGGGCAAGATAGGACGTGTGCCGATTGCGGAAGACGAGTCCATGGTCAATGGCAGCTCTAGGGACGATGCTATTCTCATACGAGGCATTGTGAATGGTCTTGCAGTTCAGGAGAGAGGAGACAGAGGCAAGGATGGGCTGTGCGTGGTGGCTGCCGTGGGCAAGGAGCCCAGGTTAGCCAGATGGATGTCTGCAAAGGCCAAGAACGGCATTCACGTTTTCGAGGTACCGAGAAGAAGCCTGGCAAACGGCACAACTGAGGGCGAGGAGGAGGGTTAGGAAGCATAGGCGAGAAGTCACTTGCATTGCGAGGCGTTTGTGGATGCATATTAGATACCAATTCTCATGACGCATTTAGTGACGACTTCTGGTCACCTTCTTACACTGGGTGCAGCGAGACTCGGTCTCACAGATGGCTAGGGTATGCGTGATGAATGGCTCTGAGCTTGCTGTCTTGACGTTGGGTGTCGTGATGGTGGGCGGGAACTCGTTGCACGCCAGGCCCACAGCCTAGGCCAAGTCGACTGCCGCACCGGTGACGTTGGTGTCGAAGAAGCAAGCAGTGGGCGCTACACGTGGCCGTCGGCATGAGTGCATTTGAGTCGGGCAGCCAGGCGGTCAGTGAGGCTGCTGAGCTGGACACGTAGCCGCCTAGACGAGGCGTGGACGACTCGCAGCAGTGCGAGGCGGGTTGGGTGAGGTTAAGAGGCAGATGGCCGTCGTCGTCGGACTCCAGCTGCGTCTGCCCACGGCTACATCCACGGCCCGTCGCCAGACCATGTACGCGTCGGCACACAGCTTTGCCCGACATCTGCATCAGAGTTGGAGAGTTGGGGCAGCATCGCCTTTTCCGTGTTGGCCAGGTGGACGCGCTAGCACAACGGCAGCGGCCCAACCCAACTGCAGTGCTGGACTCGCTTCACCCGCTCAGCCGCCCAGCGCTCTTTGCTCTCCTGCCCGCCCCAAGACACCGACTGTCCCGCACGACCGCCGTCTGCCGGTCGCACCCAGCGTGTGTCGTTGCTGTAACTGTACAGACTGTTGTAGTGCAGCGCTTCTGGCCCTCGCGCCCGCACTTCGCAGCCCCTCGACTGCTCCACCTTGGCCGTTGCATTGCATCCCATCCCCTCCCCTCCCATCCCATCCATCCCATCGCCCGCACCCCGCCGCCCGGACAAGGTCATGCCGTTAGTCCTAGCCCATCTGCCCCACGGTCGCGCCCTGCCCCAGGCTGCGTCGCGCCGCTATCATGTCAAGGGCGACACTAACGTGGCCATCAGACTCCGGAAGGGAATCACTGTCAACAACCACACGGGCGCCTTCGAAGACGACGACGACGACTTCACCGACGACGACTCGGCCGGCATCCAGGTAGTCTCGGCCAGCGAGGACGAGTACAGCAC